AAGAATTATCCCATCTAAAGAGAAAACATAATCATGATTGCAAAAATGTGCTTGTGTTTACATTATACTTCATAGTGATCAATTCTGAAGAATTCAATTGCAAGGAAATAAATTGGATAAAATCTTTTTTTTTTTTTTTTAAGTGAAAAACAAATCAGTAATCCACAGAGGCAGATTCAGAGGGGAAAACTGAAATCAGTTGTGCTTGGGTGGGTATGGGGTTTCTTTTAGGGAAATGCAAGTACTTGGGCATTAGGGATAGGTGATGGTTGTTGTACAACATTATGAATGTACTAAATGCCCCTAAACATTCTCTATAAAATGACTTTGTTATATGACTTTCATGTCAGGTTCTTTTTAGAACTTTTATTTTTTTCATTCAGTTTATGTCATTTATTATATTCACTCTAAATTCTGTGACACTATAGTATTGTGTGGTCATTTCTGTTTATGAGAAAGAAAAATCCAGTGTTAGGTGTGATTATAATGTGTTTATATAAGTGGACTTAACTATAATTTTAAATTACACAATGATAGCGGGTTTGCTCATGCCTAAAGTTTTTGGTTGTGATTTTATATGCTCAGTATTTATCTAGGAGTTGATTTTTCCAGATTTTTTAAAAGGCCTGTTGATCATAGAATCTTAGGTTATTATTGTTTGGAAGGATTTGGTACTCAAGCTGAAATGCAATAAAAGTTTAAGTTAAGAATTTGTATTTCACATGATTTGAATTGGCACTTTATTTGGTTGAAGAGTCTTCTGATATCATGAATTTCTGTTATAAATTTGTCTTGTGCTTAAAACTGACAAAAGGAGGACTGGGGAGATAGTACAGGACCTGGGTTTGATCCCCGGTACTGCATGCCATGTGCCGGCCCTGCACCATGTACCCCTGAAAGTGGGCATGGTGGTGCATACCTGTAGTACCAGCACTCAAGAGGCTCACAGGAGGATCACTGAGTCTGAGCTGTGTAGTGAGACTCTGTACCAAATAAATAAATAAATAGATAGATAGATAGATAGATAGGGAAAAAAGTTCTTTAAAAACTGTGACAAAAGGAGAATCATGGAGGCAGAACCAGAAATGAAACGTGTAAGGGTAAGGTCATGGTGTGTTATCAAACAACAGTATAAGCCACAAATGCTGTTTTGTAAATACAGGAGGAATGTTCAATTATGCCAGTCAGTCTGTTTTTGATAGTTCATTTGTCCAAAGAATATTAAGTATGTTTATAAAATAGTGATATGTGAATGTAAAACAAGTCTTAGACACAAATTCTAATTCCTTCCCCAATTTGCCTATGCATTAAGATTCATATAAGCTAAAAATCCTATGGTATACTGTGTGCGAAGAGCAAAGTTTTCCTTTTTTTAAACTCTGAATTCAGTAACTGGTCTGATTTATGGCTTGAATTTTCCACACACTTAGTTCTTTAATCACAGAAAACTTGGTTAACAAAATATGGGGTTTTTTTTTAAATATTATTATACAAAGAGGTAGTAATATTTTTTTAAATATGACAATACAATTTAAAATGTGGCTAATCACGTTTGTCAAATTGGTTACATCAGGATTCTATAAAGTTGGTTAGGACGGTCCAAAACAAGTAAATTTATATGTGCATTATGTTTTGATTATTTACTGGAAGTAGTAAATTCTCCTTGTTTCTTATTTTTGCCTTTATAGCGTATAGCACTTTCTACATTGTGGGTTTAATATTATCCATGCAGATACCTTTTGTGGGTTTTCAACCAATCAGAACAAGTGAACACATGGCAGCTGCAGGTATGAAAGAATATTTTATTATTTCTTCCAGAGAATATATAAAATCGTAATTCACTAGCCTTGCAAAGGAGTAACAGTATTTAATCTTAGTTTTCATTGTCAAGGTAAGGTGAGTCCCAAGGTTTTGGAGATATATAATTAATTAAAACTTCAATCATAAATTCTCAGGGAAGTGTTCATGACTCACAGGAAGTCCATGGACCCCCTGGAGTTCGTGTGAATTTCATTTATAATATTGTAGAAGGATTCAGTTCAGGCTAAATATCCCTCATCTGAAAGGCTTAGGATCAGAAGTACTTCAGATTTCAGTTTCTCAGATTTTAGAATACTTGCATATTTATACTCATATTACCATTTGAGCATCTCTAATTCAAAAATAGAAAATACTCCAAAATTGACTTTTGAGTGTCATTGTTGTTCAGAAAGTTTCAGATTTTGGATATTAGATTTTTTAATTAGGGATATGCAGCTTGTATGCAGGGTGTAATTTTCTGACAGGCTTTCCATCCTGTTTATGCTCAGTGATGGCTTAAAAGGCTAAGCTGTATTATCTATTTTATGGTACTTTTAAATATATAAAAAGAAAAACTTAATTTACATTCTCAAATTGATACTTTCAGTTTACCAGTTAGTGTAAGATACAGAAAAAGTTTTCAATATACGATAATGCATAGTAGTGTCAAATACAGTCATCTGTTTTTATACAGATGGTTATTATATTTCCTAAAATCTAAATTTTTGATATTTAATCATTTCTAAATATACCTCCTTAAGGTTAGATTTCTTTTGAAGTATCAATATGCCAGATGAGTTAGGGCTTTCATGTCTTCCTTGTTTAAAATTTTACATCTAATGTTTTTGTATAGTGCATATTTGAACAAATATCACCAATGACTGCTTTAGTTTTTTATCTTAGTACTCACCTTTATGTTTACTAATGTAAAGTCAATGACTTTAAAAAAGAAAAACAAAAAGGTGTTATATGACTGGACCCTTCACAAATCAAAATAGCAAAATGTTTATACGTTTAGGTTTGATGAGAAGTATGATTAGGCAAAAGGAGATTTATGTATAATGGTAATAAACTGGAGAACTTAACAAGTTCTGTGTGTTCTGATTCTTTTTTGGCATAGTATCTTGTGTCTTTTTGCCTCTGAGTATAAGGAAGACCCTTTGGAATGAGGATCTTAGGACTTGCTTAGTAAAATATGAGAGAATTATTTTTGTTACCTACTTTAGGATAGAAAAGGAGAACCTAAGGCAGACCTCTCTTTTGTTCTGTTTTCTGAAACAAGTTTTAGTGTTTTGGGATAGCTTCTGTTGAACCCCAGCACTTACTTATAATGTTAAGTGTGTAATTGAGGTGATATTCTTATTATCAATGGTAAACACTAACTATGTATCAAGATTCTCCTGACATAAGTCATTTGTTCCCTTCGGCAGAGAGATCTAAAATTTATTTCTTGATGATGTTTGTTATTTTGCCCACCTAGAAAATATGTTCCTAAAAAAGAACTTAGTGTTTTAAATAGGCTGAAGTGAGATTTTTCTTTCCTACGACATCTATGGGGAGTCTGAAATATTTTAGAAAAAATTTGGAATAAGATTTCTTTGGATGTATTAATTAGTTGGTTAACTGTCATTTTACAAAGGGGGAAAGGGATAAAATAACTAGTGTTTGATGTGAGTGGTATTCAAGTGAAATTTTAAAAATATTATTGGTAAAGTGCTTTGTTAATCATTTATATAACCTTTTTAAAAAATTTTTATTTTTAGGTGTTTTCGCATTGCTACAAGCTTATGCTTTCTTGCAGTATCTGAGAGACCGATTGACAAAACAAGAATTCCAGACCCTTTTTTTTTTGGGTGTGTCACTAGCTGCAGGTGCTGTGTTCCTTAGTGTCATCTATTTGACTTACACAGGTAGGAACTATCACTTGCAAAATATATATCTTATCTCTATATTATTCAAAAAGGTAATTCTTCCACATACTTTCACAAATGTCATTCTAGAAGATCCAGTACTGTGATTATGTACTAATAGTACTAAAACAAAGCTTTAACATCTGAGTAGCATTACTACAAATTGTGATTTTTTTTTAACAGCTTAATTTTTTTGCTTCAGATTCTGATAAATTCATAAACATCCTTTTGTTGGAAGGATAGATCCAAAGTCTTAAAAACTTCAGAGCTTCTAGTGATAAACCCACTATGTGTTTACCCACATTCTCCCCTACCCTTAGTTTTTTAAATAGTTTACCAAATTCTTTTTGCTTCTGGATTCTAAATTACTCTCTTGACTTCAATCTTTAGAAACAAGTCAGATTCTTTCTTAAAGTTTCTGTCAAATTAATGTGTCAGCCTTACCTCATAAACTTATGAAGGTCCAGGATAGAGTTCACTGGCACAGTGTGTGCCTGGCAAGCATGCATTTGATTCCTGGTACCAAAAACAAAACAAAACAAAACAAAACAAAAAAGCTCATAAGGGACTGACAGGAGTAAAATTGTAAGTGTTCAAAATCACTTTTGTAACTCAGCAGATGGAATTTGGAATGCTATATATTAGATCATTTAGGCATACACCCCATTTAAAATGGTGTTTAATGTCTTAATTAAAAAGAGGGTCAGTGGAATAAGCACTTCCCTGGCAGACGCAAAGGCCTGAGTTTAATCCCCAGTTCCACAAAAAAAAGAAAAACCTTCCTACAATTTTATCTAGCTACTTACGTTAATTTTCTCTAGAAACAGTTTCTCTATGAATTACTGTTTTTATTTGACCACTACTTTATTTTATCTGACTGCCAACTTTGAAATATGTTGGCCTGCACAATAGAAAATTAAAATTCCTTGAACATGAACCTATAATTAACAATAATGTAATTTGGGCCAGCGAGAGAGCTCAGCGGACTAAGCACCTGCTTAGGCAAGCTCAGAGATAAGGGTTCAATGCCTGGCACCACATGCTTTGCCAACCCCTGATCTGGGTGTGCTGAGCTGGCCACTGAGACCAGGCGTGGTGGCACATTCCTGTAATCCCAGGGCTGGGGAGGCTGAAAACAGCAGGATCACTATGAGTCTGAGCTGCCCAGTGAGACTCTGGTACATTTATATAAATAAAGTAATTTAAAATTTACAAAATAGTTAAAAGGCAGATAATTTCCTTTGTATTTTTTCTTTTAAGGTTATATTGCACCATGGAGTGGCAGATTTTACTCATTGTGGGACACTGGGTAAGTACATATACGTTATTTCAGCCTCACAAATACCCTTTTGTTTCTGCTGTTATGGTATTATCAGTATTTCAGTCAGTACTTAAGTATCATTAAGTATGTAGAGTATCCTGGGTCAAA